TTTTGTAACTTTTTATAACCTCATTTTTTAAAGCCACCTTGTTGTCACTACATCCCCATGAACTGTATTATGTACAGCCATAACTACTTTATAGTGCACTAACTCATTCACACTCTCACCCACTTGGTCACTACACACTTGTTGACTATACACTCGTTCACTTGGTCAGTACACCCTCATTCACTGCATACTCATTCTATACACCCTCGCTCAGTAAACACTCGTTCACTACACACTCATCCACTCATTCAATACTTCATCTACTCATTTACTATACTTTCATTCCCTCATTCACGACACCTTCATCCACTCATCCACTACACACTCATTCTCATTTGCTATACCCTCATCCGCGTATTCACTACCTCCTCATCTACTCATTTACTACACACTCATCTCGATTTACTACACCCTTGTACACTCATTCATTACACCCTCATCCACTACACATTCATCCTCGTTCTCTACACCCTTTTCCTCTGATTCACTACACCCTTGTCTACTCATTCACTACACACTCATCCTCATTTGCTGTACCCTTGTTCACTTATTCACTACCTCCTCGTCTACTCATTCACTACACCCTTGTCTACACGTTCACCAGATACTCATCCTCATTTACTCTACCCTTGTCCACTTATTCACTACCTCCTCGTCTACTCATTCACTACACACTCATCCTCATTAGTTACACCCTTGTTTACTTATTCACTACTACTACTGTCTTCATTCACTATTCACTTCATTCATTCACTTCACACTCAATCACTACACTCTCAACTGTTCATTCACTACATCCTTATCTATTTATTCATGTCACACTCATTCACTCATTTACTACATCCTCTTCTACTCATTCACTACACACTCATCTTGATTCACTACACTCTTATCTACTCATTCACCCTGAATCACAGCTACACTTTCACTCATGCATTCACTCATTCACCTTCAAACACATTACTAGCCTCCTTGAAAGAGACAAAGAGAGAGAGAGATTGAAGAACAGATTGATAGAAGCTTCTGAGTGTTTCTGCTTGAGCTGCTCAGGTCAGATTGGTCAAAGAGGAGGTCAGAGCTTTTAATCAGCTTTATAGTCAGGCCATACATGCACACACACACACACACACACACGCACACACACAAACTCACAGCCTTGGTTCTTTATTGCTGAGTAGATTTTTTATTGCATTTATTGCATCCTACTAAATCATTAAGTGTTATCGTTCTGTATTTAGAGCTGTGTGTGTGTGTGTGTGTGTGTGTGTATGTGTGTGTGATTTCTCTCAGCGCAGCGGAAAGGAAGTGAGCTCAGGGGAAGAGAATGTTCCTTCAGTCTAAAATAGAAGAAAGACTGTTTGTGTTTATCACGAGATCACGTGACATAAACACACACACACACACACACAAATACACACAGCATTTAGCTAACACACAGCTGCTGTTTTTGCGGTGGGTCCGCTGGGAGCAGGTAGCCATTAGAGCGTAAATTCGCATCCTTTCTGATGTACGACTCGCACTGGTAATCACTGTGTTTAACAACACACTATAGCTTTGTTTAGGAACAAACATGAGCACGTGCTTGTGTGAGTATCAACTTTACATGTTATTGTGACTTACCAATATCATTGATTTGTTGTTTGATTTGATTGGATTTATTTTCATATTTAGGTTGTGTGCACACTTGGCGGGTCTGGCTCAGTTGAACCGTACTGCTGTAGTGCGGCTCGTTAAAACAAGTGAGAACGTGGTCGAGCGAATCCTGGTGAGCGTCAGGTACACACATCGAGACCCTCCAGAGACGCCTATACAGACCAAAGACAGAATGAACCGTCGTCTCCTCTCTGCAGACCTTCTTTGATATCTGCAACACACATATTTCTGATGCTGTTTTGAATGCGGCTCGACTTATCATATCAGCCGAGATTTCAACGAGCCACAAGCTTTATTGGTATTGCTGATAATTAAGACTGTGTTTGGTTGTAGCATCTCCAGAATTCAAACTCACAAATTCCTGCCATTAGGAATTCGTAATATTTGAGACTATGAGTTTCTGCTGTTTATTTTGTTTCAGGAAATATGAGGGTTAAGAAATGACAGCCATATCTGTTAGTAAAGCACTGTTTCACCACAACTATCGAAGTATAAAACTAAAATATAACATTATATCAACTAGTACCAGTTTCTGAATTTTTAGTCCCTTAAAATCAGTGTCGGTATCATTCGTTGTCACATTCAAAGCCTTCTTAAAAATACTGCACTCATAAATCTAATTCTGTATTATGAAGCAAAAAGCTATTCAAAACCATTGTGCCTTTAACTTTGAACATCATGTTGCTTGGCAACCATAGCCTGCTAGCCTATGAACTAACTTACATTGCTTACTGCAATAACTGTTTATTGTGATTATAAATAATAAATGAAACTGTTTAGTTAACATTAGCATATTTTATCGTGTTGTATTTTGTCTCTGTATTATAAAGGCAATAAGCCACTGTGGTGAGTTTAATAATCTAAAATGCATCATTCCCCGCTTTGGTTTAGACCAGTGGAACCAAAATATGGATAGAAACGCCCCACAAACCAAAACAAGGAATATATTTTAACCTGAAACGATTAGATTAAGGTCTTATTTAGCTGCCTGCTTTGTGGCTTTTTTGCCTCAACACTGATTTTGGAACATTAGAATTGATCATGATCAGTTATAATAATATTTAATAATATATGCACATTTTTGGCCAAAATAAAATTCACAATTTTTTAACATTATGAATTTGAAAAATCTTGTTTAACTGTTGTGTCGTCTAGTGTAAACGGTTCCTCCATATTTATTTATTCAGTGTTTGTGTAGAAGTAATTCGTACCAAAAAAATGTAATCGTGTATTTCATGATGCACTGAATAATTGAATCGAATTGTGACGATGGTGTACAGAATGACATTTACACTACTAGTGACGCCCCACTGAATGGAAATTAAAGTGTAGTACACTGAACTTAGTTGGACGCTCTCCATGTCCTGCCATGGCTTTCTGCCCACACAGGAAGTTTCCTTCTCCTGGAGTCACTGAGCCCTGCAGCTCGTACGAGATTTACAGAGATTTGTGGTGTTCCAATATTAGTTACGACGTAACACACTCACCTTGTGTGCCTTTGACTTAATTTAGCGGCCGTCTCCTTCTTTATTCAGCTCGGCTCAGTTCAGTTCAGTTCAGCAGCGCTTTACGGGCAAGTTTGTTTACGTTACTGTCCAAGCAATTAACGATAGATATAAAAAGGATAACGAAAAAATACAGAAATAACGTAGCAATAGAACATGCACTGTCTCTCTCTCTCTCCCTCTCTCTCTCTCTCTCTCTCTCTCTCACATGGAAACGCATCTGCAGAAGTGTAAAGTTTCTTCCCTGCTGACTTTAAGAGCTGATCAGTGGGTTAAGAAGTGTTAGCGCTGAGTGTGTGCCCATGATCAAAGTTACCTTGTGTATGTATGTGTGTGTGTGTGTGTCTGCCCTGCTTTAATAGATCTTAATACAGGAAGAGTTTTAATTAGGCTGTCTGAACCTTCGCTAATGAAGAGCAGAGAGAGAGAGAGAGAGAGAGAGAAGCAGAATGGGAGTGAGATATTGGAGGCGAGCAAGAGCGAGAAAGACGGAGAGATGGAGAGAGACAGATTGGAGGAGAGACAATTGAGGAGAGAGAGATGGTGAGAGAAAGAGAGACAGAATGGAAGATAAGAGAAAGACAAAGAATGGGAGAGAGGGAGAGAAAAAAGAATGAGAGAGTTATAAAGACAGAGGTGTATAGAATGGATAGGGAGAGAGAGAGAAACAGAATGGGACTGACAGAGAATAGAGGAGAGAGTGATAGATGTAGAGAAAAAGCAAGAGAAAAAGAGAGAGATAGATGGGGATGTGGAGAGGAAAAGACAGAGCAAGAGAATGGGAGATAGAGAGAGAGAGATGAAGAGAGACAGAAAGGAGATAGTGAGACTATGAGAGAGAGAGAGGTAGATGGACAGATGGAAAGGAGATGGGGAGAGGAAGAGGGATAGCCAGGGGAGAGATAGAGAGAGAGAGAGAGAATGAGAGGCAGCATGAGAGAGGGAGAGAAATAATCTCTTTCTCTCTGTTGTTCTCTCTCGTCCTGTAGTTGACCTGTATGCCACTTGTGTCAAATCACTTACTCTTCATTACACATCTGAGTCCAGGAGAGCAGGAGCACATGTCCAGGCAGACTGCTCAAAATTACATTGTTAGTGTTGTTTTTTGTTTTTTTCTCTCCCCCTGAGTTTGGCTGATAAGGGACACTGATTAGGTGACCACTATGTGTGCGCAGCTTGTGTGCAGGCCCACTGTGTGTAGCTACATAGTGAACACACTGTGGTCTGTATGGTGAACTGCGAGAGACAAGTACTGATCATTTTATGGCTCCATGCGCCATCAGGTGGTGTAAAGGTGCAACTACGGGTACATTAATTTTGTAGCTCCACAGCAGTTGAAGGTTCAATGATTTCTACCTCAACAGAAGGACGTTACATCCGTTTGGGCATTTTATTTTATTGTGATACACCATTAATTTCTCTTATAATTTGATTAATGTTGACTTTTAAATTCATAAATACAGCAAATAAAACACAAAATTGTGAAATAAAAGACTATTTATTTTCCTAAACCTTCAAAAGAGATCAGCCTAGAACCAAGGCATATGCTTCAACCCAGAATGATTACTATTACATGTTTACTATTGATTACAGAATAATTACTCTTATAATATTTACAAGTTGGCCCACAATAATTTTCATTAGTGATTAGCATTAGCATATTTATAGGAGGAACTATGCCAGTGCAGTTCTGTGGACTCTAGAGGGCAGTATTACGTACAACAGTAACACAGGCCTAGGGTTAGACCATCAACAATAAGGTCATAGAAAATAGAGAATCACTTTGTGACATTGTAAATATTCAGAATAACACTTTTTCTTCTGCCTCTTTCTCTCTCTCAGTTCTCCCATCTACCCGGAACACACCCAGTCCAATTGACCCAGAGACGATTCAGGTTCCAGTGAGCTATGAGCCAGACCCAGCAGACCTTGCATTGTCCAGTGTCCCAGGACAGGAAATATTTGACCCACGCAAACGCAAGTTCACAGCAGAGGAGCTCAAGCCTCAACCCATGATCAAAAAAGCACGCAAGGTCTTCATCCCAGATGACATGAAGGTGCGTCTGCCCTCTTCTTCATCACTCACTCGCTTCTAGTGGTCTGTGCGTTATGAATTTTTCAGAGTATAAATGGAAGCTGACATTTTCATATGTTTTAAGATCTATTAAAGTCCAAATGTTTGCATTTTTATGATGATATGTCTTATACCATTTCTTTTTGTAATGACAGTTTCTAACCACAGAGCCACTCTTGGCTGGATATTTTTGGGTGGTGGTCCACTCTCAACCTAAAAGTGACACATGTGTAAGACCCCCAGCAACTAGACTGTACCTGATACACTCGTACCACCACCACCGCACAAACTACCATGTCAGTGTCGCTGCTGTGCTGAGAATGGTCTACCGTCCAAATAATATCTGGTCAACAGTGGTCCTATGGTCATAAACTGACCAATGATTGGGGGAGAGGGTGGGAGCAAATTGTGCAGCAACACATGGGCAGTACAAAGTAGGGGGTTCTAGTTGTAGATAGTGGGTGTATGTTGCAATATTGAACAGTCTGAAGAACTAATGGTTGGACTTTAAATGAATAATCAAGGAATCAAATATTCATGTTCAGCTTCCAGCACACACACAACATTATCTCAACAACACAGCCTCTCGTTTAAAGGACCGAGCAGAAAACCCTGAGACAGCAGCACGGCCTGAGCAGCAGCAGTACAGAGATTTTTGTGTGTGTGTGTGTGCACTGCTGCTGGGTCTACATAGAAAAACGCTTGAATATTTCATTCCACAGATGGGGCTGCTGACTGGGTGAGGTGACAAATGGAATTGAGTGTGCTGTGGGGTTTAGTGTGACTTGACTGATTTGATTAATTCATGCTAGCAGTAAAGATGCTGATAAAGAAGCAGAGAAGCAGAGGTTTTATATAACGATACCTAAATGAACAGTAATAACAGTTGTATGTAACAATCCCTAAAAGTATATATATAGATAGATAGATAGATAGACTGCAGGGTTAACTTGACTTTCTGTTGTGGCAGTGTTGGGTTGAATTTCTTTTGTAAAGTGTAGAATTTGCAGTGTTGGGTTGAGTTTGAGTTTGAGTTTCTGTTGTAAAGGGTAAATTTGGCAGTGGTGAGTGTCCGTATTAAAGCTGTAGTCTGTGTACAGTGCAGGGTTCAGCAGGGTGGCTTGTGAGGTAGTGGTTGGATTATTTTATTAAGGCAGGGGTGGGTGGGGGGGTACTGTGCAAGCGTTCAGAGCTCAGTTATGTAACCAGGCTGATTCTGTTCAGATTTAAACAGAGAGACTGGGAGATTGAGAGGGAGAGAGAGAGAGAGAGAGAGAGACTGTACAGATACAAAGTCATGGCTCTAGGCCAGATGTGTGTGGTGTGGTGTACTGTTAGGGCAAAGGCCAAATGCTCAAGCTGGAACAAATGTTTTCAAAATACTGAGAATGAGTGAAAGGCTGGTGCAGTTATGAAACTCTGACCTCTCTCCTCGTCTCCGGCTGCCCCACTGCAGTGGGCATAGGTAGGGTGTGTGTATGAATGCGTGTGTGTGTATGTGTGTGTTTGGCTAGTTTTAGCACTCTCCACCCTAAAACAGAACCTACCTGAAGGGCATCACTATCAGCCAGTCAAAAGACTGTCCTATTGTTAATTTTAAAGCAATAGTTGATGCAAAAATCAGATTTATGCCAAATGTAGTCTGTTAACCAAGATATGTTTGGTGTCTGGAGTTACAGTTTCACACTGGTGCCACCTTGAAACCTAAAATTTTATCTGCACATTTTGTCTAGTTTTATAGAAAACAGTATGTCATACATTGTCAAAAAACACATAAGCAAGTTAGGGCTGGGCGATAAAACGATAACGATAATTATCGCGATATAACTTTTCCTCGATAGAGCGATACGACATGTTCGATAAATAATAAATAATATAATACACCATTCTCACACTTCCACGTTCAGCGAAAGCCTTGGTGGCGTTTTCTACTGCAAGGAAAGTGACACTTCTGTGCTGTCACCAGGAGAGGGCGCACTTCCGAGTTTTTCTACATGATTAGAGAGGGAGGGGGCCACGAGTAAGAGGAGTCTTTAGCAACGGCTAAAACGCAGAGTTATACATTCCCTGTTTGAGTGGAGCGACCGGCGATCTGTTCTCCTGTGACCGAGTGTGAGTGACGAGGTCAGTGGTGTAACTATGCTGTCCTACAGCGAACTCACCTCTTTCTGTACATCCTAACCAGCTTTAGCAGCGTTAAATCACAATCCTCACAACTACAGCGCTGTTACAGCGCTCGGATAGTCATATTTAAATTGCATTCCAAAGCAACAAAAGTGAAAGAAAGAAGTGGGTTCATGTAAATTACAGCCCTGATTTAAATGAAAGTAAACTGAGGAAGCTGTGAGGCATTGGAGAGCAGGAGAGCGCTAACTTTCCAGGCTAGCTGTTTTTAGCAGCTGGCTAACTTAAAGCAGCGCTTCGTCACTCACACAGCATGGAGAACTGATGGTACTGTAGATCAAACAAGACACAAAAGCACCGCTTTCAGTTTAAACGTACCTAAAAGGAGAACTCTGTTTGTCTGGTGTTGATATTTTGCGGTTCACCCCTTAAACTACTACAATTGAATATCCAGTCGTCGCTAGCTGGTGTCTGAATACTGTGATGTCATTTGTAGCGGGGTAGCCGAGCGCTCGTCACCAGCTAAAAATAATCTGTTTTCTTTCTTAAATTATGACTATTACAAAATAGCCATGTTTTTCCAGCTGATAAAAACAGCTCACCAGACACTCTCTCCCACTCTCCCGTGACAGCTCTGTGAAATGTTCCACTGTTTGGTGAGTGTTTGTCATGTTCCGACCATGAAGGATAGTTTAAAACAGCAGTTAACCACCCAGGAGCAAAAATCAGCCTTCAAACTTGAAAGAAATAATGATTTGACATTTATCGCGGTATGTATCGATATCGAACGATATGAATTTTGTTTATCGTGATAACATTTTTGGCCATATCGCCCAGCTCTAAAGCAAGTCTGTTTGAGAGTATGTGGTTTGGGGTAAATGAATGATGATCAATGCTGGGTTCGACTGACGCTTGTAACTCAGAATTTCCCACCTCCAACTAGGAAAAATCAAGAAACATCCCTCCAACTGGAATTTATTTTTCCTACTCAGAAGGTCAGGACAGTGCTCCGAGCTTAACCTATGTCATCAAAACAACAAGGCAACAAATCACCAGTAATAAACAACCACTTCTCTATTTTTAATGATATTTGCTTCCAGGCATGGTAGTCGGTTAAACTATAACATTGACCATAAGGCTCCCTGTTTTAAGAAGGTAAATGCATCATGGACGTTTATCGCTCATATCATAAACATTATCTGGCTAACTTATTGCTAACCCTCCTTGCTTTCATGGATACGTCCATGTTTTTCCCCGCTTTGTAGCTCAAATTTGTTAAAATGAGGCAGTTCCAAGCTTTGACTACCCACCTTTGTGCCAAGTCAAGCACAGTATTAGGCATGCAGCTTGCATGGGCAGTATAAGCTTTCTTACTAATTACTTGTTAGCATCATTAGCCTCATAGCTCCAAAGAACAAGTAAGGAAGCACATTTCTTGGTTGACCATCTTTATATCCTGAGTAGTGCAGGCATTTAAGCGTTGGCAATGTTGTTGGTAGATCATGAGTTCAGTTCCCTAAGATTCTGGAAGTCCAACAGAGGTGGGTGGGGAAAATGGCGTTCCCTCTTCCTCCACCACTTAGGGCAATGCTAGCCAACATGGGCGCCTGTTAGCTGGTACAACAGAATTGGGAGTTAGCGTTCTCCTGCAAGCATGTTGAGCTATCTAATGACGTTGTGTCAGCATTGGGAATGCTAGACAACTTTTCTAGTATAAGTTCAGGATGGCAGAAAATACCAAAGGAAGCACTGAACAGCAACAAAAGACCTATGGATTTCATCAACAAATGAACGCATATTTCTCATCTTGGAAGAAGCAAATGTTAGCCTTCACCCTTCCAGCTTGGTAGTATTATGTGATATAGAGAGACTTAGCTACGTGGGCACTGGCATTGACTAAATTGAGAAGAAAGCTGGTTTAACAACAGAGAAAACTATATATTTTGATAAGAGTGGAAAATGAGCTAAACTAGATTTTTGTGAATCATTGCTTTAAAATTGTACTGTACTTATACTGTGAATGTCTCCTTAACATTCTGCACTGTTTTCCTTCTTGCTGCAGGATGATAAATACTGGGCGCGGCGCAGAAAGAACAACGTTGCAGCGAAACGCTCACGGGACGCGCGGAGGCTGAAGGAGAATCAGATCGCCATCCGGGCCGCTTTCCTGGAGAAGGAGAACACCGCCCTCAGACAGGAGGTGGCCGACCTACGCAAGGAACTGGGACGCTGCAAGAACATTCTGGCCAAATACGAGGCGCGGCACGGGGCGCTGTGAACCAACCCCTCACCCCCCAAAAAAGGTCCCGCAAAAACCCCAAAAGCCCAAACCAACCTGTTCCAAGGACTTCTGCGTGCCCAGTTTAAGGCACCAGCCCTCCACCTCTCTTTTTCTCTTTCTCTCTCTCTTTCTCTCTTTGAACCTTGTTTTAATTCCCTCATATTGATGTTTTAATTCTTTTTATTTTCCCCCACCGCTCTGTCTCGTTACCAGTGTGTGTGTGTGACAGGCTTAGGGGACGTATCTCTCAGTCCTCTTTTTTTTTTTCCTCGTTCATTCCTGCACTCGCTGATTGTTTATTTTATTGGAAGTGATGCTGTATGGTTGCTTTTCCTTTTTTCTTAACCGTTTTATACGTATAGTAAGGACTGAGAACTGTTGTACCTTTGTCCCTGTTTAAAGTACCACCCTTAGTCCTGCCATACCTGTCTCTCTCTCTTTCTTTCTCTCTGTCTTTTTTCCCCTTAATGCTCAGAGCAGCATTGTATTGACTTTGGTTTATATTGTTTTTGTGTTGTATTTTAGTTGGGTAGTGAAATTTTATTGTCAGAACTCAACTCTCTCTCTCTCTCTCTCTCTCTCTCTCTCTCTCTCTCTCTTTTCCTTTCTCTCTGTGCAGTAAACGTAAATAACACTAGGCCCTCCTCTACTCACTGTTCATTTCTCATCTATTTTGTTTGTATCCGATACCTAATTTCAGTTATCCTGATCCAGACACCAGCGTTTTTTTTTATACTTTATTTTGTTTTTTTCTTTTTAATACATCGTCCAATCACAGAGCAATAACTCATACTCAAGAGCATGTTTTGGAGGAAGGATGAGAATGCTGACTTATCCTCCTCCTGACGCATCATTTGTTTTCTGTCATTTTCATAGCAGAGTTGTTGGTGAGACAGGTAACTTTTTTTAAACGGTTGGTTCTTACGTGTGCATGTGTTTGTGTGTGCGCGCGTGTGTATACGTATGTAGAGGGGGGACACATTTTTCTCTACGACTGCTTTTGGGGGAGAGTCCACCCACACACGTTAAAACCTGGTTGCCAAATTGTTGGGTGGAATGTTTTTTTGTTAAACTGAGCATTGTGGCGTCGAGGCCACAACATGTCAGAATCTCTCTCTCTTCTTCTCTCTCTATGTCTCTCTATCTCTCTGCTAACAACCTGCACTAAAGCGTCTTTCACAATCTGATCTGGTGCAATGTCTCTACCTTCATTACTAGAATCTGCCTGATCTATTTATGGATATATTTTTGTTTTCTTTTTCTCCTTTTTTGAATGGAAGAACTATTTTGAAAATATTCAACCATTAATTGCTATTATTCTTATTAGAGCTGTTGATATTATCGTTGTCTGTATTGTAATTATCCTATTTTTTTTTCTTTTTCTTTCGATGGATTTCTCTGCATGATCTCTGCTTCAGAACAGCAACCTCAAGCTAATTGTAAATGTTTTATTTTCCCACAATGACCCTTTGTTGTCCTTCTTCTTTTCTATGTTTTGGTCGTTTTTCTGGAGCTCAGTTTTAGGAGGGTTTTTTTTAACTCATCACATACAGATCTATGTAGTCTTTTTGTAGCTTTACCTTTAGCCCTCTTTCTCTCAGATGGCTGTTTGAATGTATTGAATGTATAAGGTGTTTTTAAAAAGAGGCGCCAGTATGATGGTGTTGTCTATAATACTATGGTTAACTCAATCAGTTTGTTTACTACAGACCAAAACATGCAGCACACACACACACACACACGTTAAAAAAGATATATTGGTTAAACAGAGATGTAATGTTTATATGAAACTATTCTAGAGTCTAGGTTCTTTTTGTACAGTATTTTTCTTATACTGGCTATGTATTTTCAAGGCACAACAGATTCAGAATATTATAATAGAGAATAAACAGAACATATATATATATATATATGAGTCAAAGTCTATATATATAATATATATATATATATAATCAGTATATCTATTCTTCAAGGTCAAATGAGATAGCGTTTTGATAAGTTATCCTATATCTTCGTGAGTTCTGCAAAGAATCAAAGCGATCCAGGGGTTGTTTTAAACTTTCTCGGAGTATGAGTGCTGACCTAAGGTTGGTCTTTTGCCAGTCATGGACAGCACTTGAGCTCTAAGACCAGGGCCAGCGTGTATTAAGCTTCTCATGAGGTCAGAGTGCTTTTCTCTGAAGGGAGTTGCGTTCGTTTAGGATGTGAGTGTCTAAACCTGATGCTGGAATAGCACTCTATAAAACTAAAGGTGCCAGAAAGGGATCTTTGGAGGCTCAGAAGAACCACTTTTGGTTGCCTAAAAAAATGTTGCAGTTGAATGACTTGGGGATTTTCTGACCAATATTGTGACTATGATTTAAATCGTGATCATTTTCTATAAATTAAGGTCCAGGCTTGTTGTTTTGGCCAAGATGACCAGCAGTTTTCCTGCCTTGAGGCTTGAACACTGGGCATAGTGTGTGTAGTTGTGATTGTGCTGTCATGTACACGTATGAACTCATGGGTGTTTGGTTGCTTTTGATTGGTCTACAAGCAATTCATAAGCTTTTGTTATTAGGTCAGATTTCCCTAATTTAAACTTAATGTTATTGACGTTACAGACTATATTTAAAATGGCAGCTCTTGCGATTTGAAAATTGCACTTTTTAAAATTGCAGTTTCTATATAAAAATAATTAATCGATCAACTTTAGAACCAACAATTGAGAAGTTCTTTAGGGAAGCAAAAGTGGTTCTTCAATGGCAGAGTTTCCCAAACTGGTCCTCAGGATCCCCCAGATGGACCACATTTTTGCTCCAACTCAACTCTTAACACATAGTTATAAAAGAAAAATGTGGGCCATCTAGGGATCCAAGCTGGGAACCACTGTTCTACAGCATTGCTCCATAAAAACCCTTTTGGCACCTTTACTTTTAAGACATGTTCATGTACCCTGATTAAGCCTAATCCTGTACTAAAAAGGATTTTCTATAATAAAAGACCATTGGCTTTGCTTTTTAGTCAATGACTAGGCTTAGTTAGTCCATGAACAAGAAATTGGCAGTATGTCTTGAGGTGCCTGATACAGTGGTGGCCCGGAACTGTGACATGTTGTTTGGGCATTAAAGACTTACACTCCTCATTCTCTTCCTCATATGGAAGTTAGCCTATAGTTTTCTTTTTCCTCTTTGTGGAACTGCAGTGCATAGGATTTTCACAACCACCCATATCTCTCTCTCTTTCTCTCTCACACAACGAAACATCTTCCCTTCTGCTGTCGAATGAAAGAGGTGCTCGTTGCGGTAGAGTTAGACGTCTTTAGCTTTGGCCTTGCCTCAGTTTCTGGTTGCCATAGGAAGCTAGAGGTAAATGGACTTCTTCTGCCGGTCGTTGGAGATAGGACGTCTGTCACTGAATGTTGTGTCCAATGTTGTCAATGGAATCGCTTTTTATAGTAGTTGCTATGAAGGAGGGCGGGGAGGTAGTTAAGTGAATAGTTAAGCGAAAAATCTTCCCAAATCTAATAAATCAGCCAGAATGTTTGGTATGATAAGTTTTCTAACTTATGTTGCATGGCTAAAAACAGTAATTTCATCAGGAAGTCTAACCACTCAACACATTTTTATGCATGAAACTTGCACTGTGCTAATTGGGGCAGTGTAAGCTTCTATGACTTGTTAGCTTCAATACGTCTGTGAAAAACTAAAGAGGCCAAGTTCAGAACTCCAAACATGTCTCGGCTGATTGATTAAATTGCGTAAATTAGTCTGCACTATAGTGAATAAACAGGTATTCCACTTTTTTTTATTTAGAAGGATGCACTGCCCCTCCCCTACTCATCCCTCCATCATCACTGATCTGAGACCAGTGTTTGAGTCAGTGGGATTCAGGGGAGTTTGTGTTTAAGCATCGACCCCAACAAGGCTAGCGTAGTCAGAGGGTCTAACTTTGTTAGTTCAGGCCAAAGTTAAGCTGTGCACAACCTTAGATTTGTGAGGTTTTCTTTTCGTTTTGTCTAGAATTGGTAGAATATGTTTATTTTTTTATTTCCTTCCCTTATTGTCATTGTCATTTTCTGTATTTTTTTTTGTTTGTGTATGTCAGAAATGGGTTGACTGAGCTATATGCAAAGGCTAGCGTGTGTGTGTGTGAGTGAGAGAGTTTATGTGTGTATGTATGACGCCCTAGCTGTGTGCAAGCTATCTGTGTACAGTCTGTATGAAATAAAAATAAACCCAGGATTAAGCCAATACAAGCTCTTGTCAAGCCCCCATTTAGTTTCTGCTAGAGTACAGGGGACATCTATCCATACTGCAGCATTTTAGTAACATACACGATATGGACAAAAGTATCAGGGCAACCCTCCTAATTATTGAGTTCAGGTGTTTCAGCCATGCCCATTGTTAACAGATGGATAAAATGAAGCACATAGCCATGCAGTCTTCACCGCACAGCGCCACTGGTTGGTACATATTCTGTAGAGTGACGAATCACGCTCCTCTATCTTGCAGTCTGATGGATGAGTCTGGGTTTGGTGAATGCCAGGAGAACGTTACCTGCCTGACTGCAACTGTAAAGTTTGGTGGAGGAGGGATGATGCTATGGGGTTGTTTTTCAGGGGTTGGCCTAGACCCCTTAGTTCCAGTGAAGGGAAATCTTAATGCTTTAGCAGACCAAGACATTTTGGACAATTGTATGCTCCCAACTTTGTGGGAACAGTTTGGGGAAGAACCTTTTCTGTTCCAGCATGACTGAGCCACAGTGCACAAAGCAAGATCCATAAAGGCATGGTTGGGTGAGTCTGGTGTGGAAGAACTTAACTGGTCTGTACAGAGCCCTGACCTCAACTCCATCAAACACCTTTGGGATGAACTTGAACAGACATTGTGAGCCAGGCCCTCTCATCAACATCAGTGTCTGACCTCACAAATGCTCTTCTGGATGAATGGGCAAAAGTTTCACAGATACTCTCCAAAATCTTGTAGAAAGCTTCTCAGAAAAGTGGAAGCTGTTATAGCTGCAAAGGGGGAACAACTCCATATTAATGCCTGTGGATTTGGAATGGGATGTCATAAAAGTTCCTTTAGGTGTAATGGGTAGGTGCCCCAATACCTTTGTCCATATAGTGTATTTGTACCTTTTGAAGTCAGTAGAAATGCTTATGACCTGATAAAATCACGAATATGTTTCTTCAGATGATGGGATGGTTCTCTGGCCACAGATTTAAAAAATCACCAATAAATTCTGTGAGAGGGAGGCTTTTATGCTCAGACTAACCTTAATGTTTGTCTGAAAAAATAGCATAGTTGAGAAGCAGAAGGCAAATACCATTATAACAGTGAATGAGTGTTAGAAGATGAGCAGCTACAATATTTAGGGGGGTTTAAAACTGTAGAATAAGGCAAGTTAATACTTTTTTGGCACTTTCTCTGCTTATGTTTTAAGTCTAAGGATGTTTTCACATAAGACCATGAGTTTCCAGGAATGCTCACTGGATTTGAATTCTTTTCTCCACCAAACTGTGCAAAATGATCCATTTTGAGGACATACATTCCAAATGATTTTGGATCCTGCAGATGGATGATTTCGATTTCGCAGATGCACTTCAGGCTAGCTTAGCATGTCTCAGTGCACCAGTAATCTCTTCAGGACTCTTTCAGGGCTTCATTGAGTTTCACATTTTGCCGTTTGGAGGCCTGAATGTTCCAGGGTCACTCTTTGCGGTTTTTGGGAATATGTCCTTAGCCTAGATTAGACGTTAACATAAGCATTAGCGCTCTCTCAGGGTAGGAACACCAGTAAGATTTCAGGAACAGTGGTGCACCCCTGCCCCCGCCCCCTTCTTCTCCATCCCTAAACCTTACTACCTCACTCACGAATAGAAGCAACATCTATAATTCTGAGTCTATTGCAGTGCCTTGAACTACACAGGCTGTTTCCACAGTCACTCATTCCCTCTCTTTCCTCTCATTTCTATCAACTCTTCATCGCACATTGCATAGACCTACACAGTAAGGGCTCCCTTTTTCCCTTCAGGTATCCGCTCACTGCGGCCCAGTCCCAAATTGCACACTTCGCCCTTCCCTAAACCCTCCTTCCAGACTTGAGATGACCCCAGATATAATGGACATAACATTCAGCAGACCATAGGGTATAGAGACGGTCATGACTGACTTTGTAGTGGTCTCTGAAGTTTGAAGGAAGTTTTAAGGAAAGGCCTAGGTATTGGCGGAGGAGTTGGACCACGTTATTACTATGGTTATTATTTTTTTAATTCAATCACTGCAGTAGGCTTGTTACCGCTGTATTGATGGCAACACCAAAAGACTGTTTAAAGGAGAGAAGGTGGAAATAATTTCAAGGTGTGTTTTAATCTTGTGTGTCAGAAGCATAAACCTTGATGTCTTTATGCTCCTGTGTGCCCGACCTCCTCCTGTTGTCTCACTGTAATTTCAGTGTGTCTAATAAAGTCCTCTAAGTTCCTCTCACAGGCTCTCTCCCTCCTTTTTTGCCCAGTGGCATGAGAAGCTAGTCACTGAAATGTGCTCCAGTGCTCCACTTTTGGAGGCAGTTTCAGATGCACATAAATGTATTTGCATAGAGTTCTGGAGAAAAGGTTTATGGGTAATAACAATAATGATAACATTTATTTACAGATGAAGTTTCATACATGTAGTGGCTTAAAGTGCTTTACAGTAAAATAGTAATTTTAAAAAGAAGAACATGCAAGATATGAATAGTAATAAAACTGAATAAAATGATGGGCAAAATAGAATCATAAATTAGTTTCATTATTAATTTAGGTAAAAGCTAAATTACAAACCTCAACTCCAAAAAAGTTGGGACAGTATGTGAAATGCTAGTAAAAACGGAAATCAGTGAGCCTGTTGTACCTGTATTAAATTAAAAACGGTACACAAAAACATTCAATATTTGATGTTTTATCTCATAAACATTTTTTGTAAATGTGTGCTGATTCTAAATTTGATGCTTGAAACTTGAACTTTATGCTGGTAACAATCTGAAAGTTTGACTCATCGGACAACAGTACACATTTCCACTGTGCATTAGTGTATTATAGATGAGCTCAGGCTCAGAGAAGTCGGCAGCGTTTCTGATTGTTGTTAACATATGGCTTCCACAGTTCAAAGTACAGTCTTAACATGCTTTGTGGAGAAAGCGACAAATAATGTTTATTAACAGCGGTTTGTCAAAGTATTTCCAAGCCCATGTGGTTTTTAATGCAGTGCTAACTGAGGGATCAAAGGACACAGGTATTCAGTTGTGGCTTTTGGCCTTGCCCTTTTCGCACACCAATTTCTTCGGATTCCCTAAATCTTTCGACGATGTCATGCACCATAGTGTGTGCAAAACCTGAAATCCTTGTAATCGCATATTGAGAAGCTCTGTTCCTAAAGTGTTGGATTATTTGCTGATGCATTTGTTGGCAAAGTGGTGAGCCTTGATCCATCCTAGCTCACAAAGGACTCAGCCTTTCCTGAATGCTTCCTTTATATCCAATCATGAGTGCATGACCAGTTTAAGCTGTTTTTTTTATACTGCACACTGTTCCTTGTCTGAAATCACACTTGCCATTTCAGGCATCAATTTCGACAAAGCAATGAACTTGATAGAATAATAAATAACATCAATAAATATCTTGTCGTTGTACTTTTTTGATTGAAATACATGTCAAAGTGGATTTACAAATCACTGGTTTCTGTTTTATATGCATTTCACAAATTCACTGTCCCAATGTTTTTGGACTTAGGTTTGTAAAAAGATGCTTTCAGATGTTTCTTTAAAAACCTGGCTGCTTATTTGTGAATGTTTCAGAGTTCCACATTTTAGCAGCATAAAAGAAAGTGGCAGAATGCATGGACAGGTTTTCATGCATGTTTTCCTGCAAAAAGGCCCAACTTGTCACTAATAAGTTTTGCTGGGATTTAGTATCAAGTTTCAGTATCTCTGTTTTGTCCTGATTAAGCTGTAAACAATTTTGACATCCACTCAAAAATATCTTAGTCAACATGCAGGGTAATCTTAGCTGATGCACAAACCTTCAAAAATTTGAGTACATGTGAAAGTATTTGTGGTGCCTTGTGTAAAGCGAATGCTGATTGGTTGCGCAGGGAAGTACACCTGCTAGCATTGGGGTTGGGACAAGACCCAAAACACAGCTAAACAAAATAGCCAAACAATTGAATTCTCATTTATTGCATCAGATATTTAACTTCTACCCATTCTCTCACTACTACAATGTTACATGAGACCATTCCTGGGGTTGAAAATCTATTCTAGCTTTCTTTTTTGTTTTCCATATATTCTATTTTGTTGAATACAACACTGCCCCCTAGTACAAACACTATGTTTGCAGATTTGCATAAACTTTAATTTGGCTAACTGATAGAAATTTAGCACAGTGTGGTGGAACTGTTCCTTTGTTTCCTGTATCTTTAAGGGAAATTCCACTGAAAAAACCTGCTGAGAAAAGCTTGCTGAACTGCTGCATACTTTCCAGGATGGGTAACATTTATTTCCTGGTTTAAAATAAAACCAGTCATTTACTTTGTGCCACATGACACTTACCACAAGTATTTAAACAGAAACATAGTAAAGGGGAAAATATTTAAAATCTTTTCGTGAACATTTCCGCATACATCAAACTGTTTGCCACCAATCTAGAGGCAAATCTGCAGTGTTAGCTAGTCTTGGTGATAAAGCACTAACCTCACTTGGTTGTCAATTTTTTTCTTATTTCAGGGGAATAATTCACTTTAAGAATTAGCCAGGCAATGAAAAAGACATTGCCCATCTCTGAGTATCCCCCTCAAAGCTCTTGCAGTCTTTCCAAATTTACTTCCACCTTCAATGTACATCATCAGACCACTGTGGCATGGCTGTAGGAGGCAACTCCTACAACTCCTGCTGGTTTGCAACAGGTGATGTGACCATTTATTCATTCATTCATTCTTTCTCTTTGGCTGGAGTGTCCTTCAAATTTGGACTGAGATTTCTGATTAGGAATTCTGAGCAAAATGTTTAAGGTTGAGATTTATGCAACTAAAACCAGATGTCAGAATATGACAGATAGAATAAGAAACCATACAGTCAGCTATTACACTATAACTGGGGTTCATCACTGAGCTGATGCAATGATAGCTTCATATTTTTGAATTTACATTTTTCTCAGATTTTGTTTTTTGGAATCTTTTGAGCACAACAGCTGTTCTTTACAATGTGTCAAATTTCATAATGACTGGACTGATAGAAATGGTCTGAAATGGCCTCTTTGACTTTCATTGAAAATAATGTTTTTGCCTTCTCCTGAAAAATTACCATTTTACCAGAGATACTTTTTTTTTGATAGCGATGAGTTACAAAAATTGAAAAATCCAAAGTATGATGGACCCTATTGGGTTATTGGGTTAAAGTCATTGTCTGCACTGAAACTGAATAATAATGCATTTTAAATAGCACAATGTCCAATTCTTAGTTGTTCGGTTCATTAAAATGACAGCAAGGTCCTGACCAACCTAAAGGTCACCTTTAGTAACCGTAGTTCAAGAATACATTAACAACTCTAAGAGGAACCTTGTAGCTGTGAATTAGTTAAAGGTTCTGGCAGTAGTTAGAACATCCTGTCCATTTAACTAGATACCAATTTATAGTGCTTTCTAATACATTTGCACAGCCAAGATATCATGATGTTCACCAACAAAGTGTATGTGTTTAATTCTAACAATGATAATGTAGCACTGACAAATGCTACTTTACTAACTGGCATAATACTAAACAGAAGCATCACCTTTTATTTATGAGGGGCTGGTTTGAACTATTCCTTCAGTTTGTAACAGACGAGAACAGAGCCAGTGTGTTAAAGCTGTTATCGTTTATTAATAATTTAGAAACTCGTTAAGAATTGGACACAAATATTTGTCATGTACAGCACCAAACACTGAATGGATTAAGAGAATAAGGAACTAGCAGTGCAGGAAGGATTCTCTCTTTCTTGTTTTGAAAAGGCCGGTACAGACGTTATGTGCCAGAACAAGAGTATACAAATATTACAAAAGTCAAGGGATCCTGCTAGTTCCAGCCTACGAAGAGTTATCAAAACTGGATCAGTCTTGTTCACAAACACAGTCTAAAACGATAACTGAGCTCACTATTTTCCAACCACAGTGAAATTATCTTAATGCAGAAGCACAAGCTTTCAAACACGCTCATTTAAAGCTGGCTTAAGTCCGTAAAGATCCATGCGGTGATTTTAAAGTTAATTATACAGCCAAGCTAAGCCATCAGAAGTACAGCCAGCTATATTCAGCAAGGTACATGGAAGCAAATCCAGAAGATTTCTTTGGAATGAAAATACTCATACAAAAAAAGAGCAGCTTATCTCAGAGTACTCCATTTCCCACGATTCTTTTTAACGCGCACAGCAGAGGAAACAATGATGGGAAGTGCAGTCCAAAAGCAACTTGGTTTTTGTTTCGTGAATGGCACACTGAACAGTATGAATGGGTCGAAGTGAGTTCTGGCTGATTTATCAGAGCTAAAAACCTCCACATTAGGACAGAAAAGGGAAGAAATACTGTCTCAATAACTCCTTCACGATCAGGTTCTAAGTGGAAATCAAACAGCAATACAGTGGTCACTGCACTGTAGCAATACAGAAAACGCTTCAGGTTCCCCAAAGAGCTAGGTAGGAATAGGAATATCATCTGGGCTATCTGAGTCCCTCTGCGGCAGCTGCAATGATCTTGAGGTTTAAAATGCTTTTGGGGAACAGGCTAATATAAGAAAAACACATGATTCACTGCCTCTGGGGGGCGTTTCACAAAGCAAGACCGTTCAACAAGCTGAATTAGTGAGCACTGTCCACTAAGAATGGGCCTCATTCACCAACCGTTCTTAAGAAGAAATTTCTTCTTGAAACCCACTTACACAGTTTTACAAAGATTCTGACATTTACCAGTATTTTCTTATTTGTTCTTAGGTAAGAACAGAATCTACACACACTCAAGAGCACAAAGGTGTAAACAATTCTGCACTTTAAAAACAAGTCATGAATCTGGTGTAGACTTTTTCTTAGGACCTTTCTCAAGAACAAATTTAAGAAAAAACGTAGAAAGATATTGGTGAATAAGACCCACTGTTTATGATTTTCTTCTATTGGACAAGCTTATTCAAACATTTGAATGCAGCTAACTACATAAGATACAGAAGCCACCAATATCAACAAAATGCTTTTTGATTTCCTTTATTGTTCTTAATATTAGCTTAAGTAATACCAAAGATTTTTCAAAACTTTTGCGTAATTCAGCAGTTAAGAGCTAAACAAAGTCTTTCAGAGAGGTTTAAATGTGAAATGAGCTGTTCTAGAGAGATTTAAGACATAACTGTTCATAGCGGTGGCAATAGGAACCAGACGTCTGAAACATTTAATGCCTCGGAAAGCTACATCACAGAACGTTATTACATGAAATGGATATAAATACGTATCAATTTCCTGATGTCTGTCATATGAAAAGCTTTTGGACTAAAATATGTCTTTAAAAGACGTGCAGGGCGGAGAGATACATGCAGGGCGTTGTAAAGGAAAATAGTCCCTAATAAAAAAATGATTTTTTCAGATTTAATAGTGATGGTAGACAATCCTGAGTGTTTTGACTCTTTTGAAACCCTTGCGTTCAAAGCAGGTTCTGTACATCATCACATATTAGATTCCATTTGCACCAATCAGAATTCTTGCACCTCTGATGTTTCTGGATACAATTCAACTGATCATACTTGTGATGTTGAAATTAGCTTGCGTTTTAATTATGTTCATACTACTTATAATAACATTTGTCTTGTTTAACTTTTTAATGCAAATTCTCAGCAGCAGTTGCTGAATTTCATGAATAAACAAGCTTAGTAGAACTGATTTTTACATCACTGTAAATCAACACATAATTAACCTGGGAAAATGCACTTGCACAGAAAATAAAAGTGGTACTCTATAACGCCCAAGAATAAACTCAAACTCATTGTGCTTTTCAACAACACTGACAGTTCATACTGCATATATAAACAGTTTGGTAACATGAACAATGTGATGGCAGGTCACCTTGATCTCCCATCCCTGATTCATTTTCAGAAGACATGTAGGTTCACTGGTCATTTTGGATAGTAAATAAGATGGCTATATTTGAGTTGTAAACATCATGACCACTGATTCCCATCACCACCACTGTAAAGAAACCCAAGTCAGTAAGTTTCTACAATTAACCATTTCACATCAAACCACTCTAAATGACTTTGTTTACATCTTAATTATTGGTGGCATTCCTCTTTAAGAAATTCTGCTTGGGAACTCCCCCTCATATCAAGACACGTTTGTGTTCACAGTGCTCTCAGAAACTTTCCACTAGAAATGCTGACTGCTCATAAGTCATTGTCCACTGTCTTCACACTTCTACCCTCCAGGTACAGATACAGTACAGTTTCTTCAGGACCACTTACAGTAACAACAGGTCTCCCTTGGGATTAGCTACCGAACTAACTACTCGAGAAAAACAAAAACATGGAGTATCAAATATAAGTGGTTCTTTATGTTACAAAAGTGCTTGTTTCTGGAAAAGACAGCACTTTCAAATACTGCTGAATATATTACATTACAACACAGTGGAACAACCTTGTTGGAAAGAAAACAGAAAAGTCCATGAGTTAAGTATTGTATATGTGAAAAAGTGGAAAAAATGTTTGCTTTGATGCAAAAGTACACCCTGATGCACTGTTCCAAAAAACCTGACAGTACGAGATTACAGCTGATGAAAACCGAAACAAGCAAAGGTGGAATGTGTATGTGTGCAATTGCTCCAAAACAAAGTAACAGTAACAATGAGCGTTAAAAATAAAAATAAAAAGACAGTACAGAAATGACGTTAACGTCCGGCCTCAGTTTGCAGTGAGCTGTGCAAAAATACTGGTCAAAAAGGAAAAGAAGAGGTTTTACTTTCATCGTTTGTTACAGAAACAGACATGAGCTGCGTGGGGCGTCTGTAGCCGCGAGTGAAGCGTGTGCAGTCACACATGCATACACACAATTACACTGTTCTCCAGCTTGTTAGAAAACAGTAAACAATACACGGTCGTAGTCGTAAACTTCGGTAGCTTATGTTAGCACACCTGATGTTAGTGAATTGTACAAATGTTGTGGAAAAAGAGCCTAGCAGAAAAAACCTTTTCCCCATTGAGAAAGACAAGAGTTGAAGGATGAGATCAGCTTGTATGCATGTTGGGCGAAAGGTGAGGGTTCAGGCATCCTTGAGGTCGTCGCTGGGTGAGCTCCTGTAGAGGTATTTCCAGATGGCGTAATAATGCACGGCCGCAGCCATGGCAACAAACACATGCCAAATAGCGTGAGCGAACGGGATGACGCCATCTGACTTGAAGAAGACCACGCCCAGGCAGTAGATCACACCCCCAAAGGCCAACTCATACAGACCATCTGTATTATTCTGCAGAGAGAAAGAAAGAGAGACGTTAAGTGGAAAGCAAAATCAATCCCCAGTCATTAGATGTCCTTGCATTTTCACAACTCTGCCACAAGAGGGAGCCTGAGACTGCAGCAATGAGGCTTCTATTATCAGAAAGGCTGACACTACAGCCCCAGCAAAGCTGCTGTGTCTGATAGAGTCATACCAGAACCACATACACAACCATGTCACTACCATGTTTATATCACTACTGTACTAAAAAGGGTCCACTGCCCAAATAATATTTGGTCAGAGGCAGTCTGGTGGACTAATTGTGCATCAACAGATGGGCTACGAACAGTACCTGTATACCTAAAAAGTGCACCTATATAGTAGGTGTACCAGATAAAATGACCTATGGATCCAAGTATTTCATGTCACGTTTCTGTTGTTATGCACACCCCATGTACCTACAAACACACAGTCATTCAAAAGATAGAAAAACCAGACAACACCTAATTATTAACAACTAAGGAACAGAAATGAAACCCTAATCAATATTCTATACATTTGAAGATCAGGAGTGGTACACAGAACTCCATTATAGGGAATAGAAATGATCCCTAATCACTATTCTGTACATTACAGAATCAGGAGCACTAAATAGAGCACTATTACGGGGAATAGAAATCATGATTAAAATGCATTAATGCTGTGTTCAAGTGCTGTCAGAAATTTGGAAATAACAACTGACTGACTCGTAAACTAATGACGTTATATTTCAGAGAGGAAAACTCAAGATTCTTGAAGATACATTAGTTTAGCAGATGTGACGTGCTTTACCTTCTCTGTACATAGATAATGCTGCATAATTTCCTGTCTGCTAGGGTACAGAGTTTGTACACAGCCAATACCAATACAGTGAGGGACTGAGTAAAGTTAAGGAACTGAGTAAAAGTGTACTAGATGTTCTCCACTATATTCTTTGACACCATTATAACAAAGTCCCAAAATAAAGTATTCTATAGTGAATAGGGCAACATAGAGAACTGTATATAGCAGTTAGTTCCAACAACACAATCTTATCTGACAATCGGTTGAGAAGTGTTTGAACCGTTTTTTCCATGATAACTACCATTCCGCTGAACACCGGCTGCCAAGTAATGACTTGCTTTATGCTGCAGCTAACAACTGCTAACGCACAAACATTACTTTAGCACAAACAATAATATAACTTTATATATATATATATAATTTCTTTAAAATAACATTTGAGCCGCAGCCCATTTAGTCTGATTCTACAAAAGACTGTCACAGCAAATCTACATTAAATTCAAAACCTGCCAATGCCTCCAAGCCAGCTTTTCAGTCTGTAGTTGTGATGGTGGGACAACTAAACAAACAGGAATTAGCCAAAAACAAGCAGAATACAGGATGGGATGGGTTCTGAAGTGCTTCACAGACCAGCTGGAGCAAAAGGACATTTGGTTTAATCAGGCTGCGCTGAATCTGTTATAATGACAGTTTTAAGGCTCTATGCGTAACGAAAAAGGCTACTACCTTTTTGGCAGAACTACCAATATGAAAGCACATTTGTCACAACGTTCAGGACTTCTTTGCCCTTCTTTGCTCTTTATTTTGCAGAACTGCAGTTTATTATTATCTTTAAAATATTTATACAGCAGAGAACCCCTAATCACCATATATCTAAGAGAAATTGCTTGTTAAAGTCAGCATACTGCACTACCATATGATGAACCATAGTAACAGGCTCTGTCTGAAACTGTGCCATAAGCACCCCACATTAAAAATCTACATACACGTTTATAATTCTACCAAATTAGTTAGTCCCACAATAAAAAACTATTAAGAAAAATAATAAAAAAAAAAAGTATTCACTATTCACTTAGATTTACAATGATTATTTTATGATCTATTTAAACCCAAGACATTGAGAGTAAAAATATGAATATATACAAAAAACATCATTTACAGGGTAGTTTCTATTGAGAGGCGGCTGTGAAAGTACTTTCTAATTTTTTTTTTTTAATGTTCAAGATCTTTTTGATTCCTGAAGTTGAAAGATTTAGATTTATCCTAAGTTTAATTTTCAGACAAATATTCAAAAAACACTGCTACAATTACATGTCACTACCGAAACACAAAGAGTTTTAGCCCATTGACGGAGCCTAATTTTAGCCACACCCCTGCATCTTAGAGCAGGAAGTGAGACTGCATCCCTGTCCTTCAGGGCCACATGGTGAGCAGTTAGATCCCACTGTTTTGAAGTAAATGAGTCTCTGTGTCACATTAACAATTGTCACTACCGAAACACACTTTCAGCAATTACATAAACTTGTTTTGTGTTTTAATCTAAATATGATCTTTATGTGTAGGTACTTGGGTAGTGTTATTGAATTATGCTCAAAATTGGCTAAATCAGTGTTATGGCTGTATTGGTAGTGATAATACAATTTATTCTAATTCATTTTAATAAAAATAAACAATTAAGGTATACGGTCAAAAGGAGTTTAGTCCAAGTCCAACTCTTATACAGTCCAACTCTCTCCTATATTGCTTAAATATAGTGATTTCTGTCCTATATATAGGTATTCAATATAGCAATGCTTTTTTTTTGGCATACAGTGATGACAGCACAGTTTCAGACAGCCAGTTTCCAAAGTGTAGGATGATGACCTGAATGAACTGATGTAGCTCATTCATTAATTAAGCAATTGCCATCCAGCATGCACATATGAAGTGAAAGTTACATCAGCTTTTCTGGCCGCAGAGAGTGTGTGCAAGGGGAAACCTCAGGTAACTGGAGAAAGGGGAGTATCCTGTTTGTCAAGATTGTCTGTCGAGGTTGGAGGCCACAACATGATACCTATATCCAGTCTAGATGGAGACACGGCATTTAATACATCTCGGTGTACAAGGGGAAAATAATTTGAACCTCTATTTTGACTAAGAAACTGTTTCTCCTAAAAATACAGTTCCAACTTTCCCCCTTATTCCAAACCTAGCCAAGACATGTTTGGTTAGTTTCTTTACTTTCACTCTGGAGCTACAGGACTCCATTGTGATACTGAATGCCTAAAACATCACACACTCACGTCAAACCATGTTCAGTTGTTAAGTAATCTAATATAGACTCAGATATGTGCTTTCTGACGCTGTATGACATATGGTTATCTATACATATGAACAAAATGTATGTGTCTTTGTTGATCAACTATATTTGGAGTATACGAGAAACAGTGTAATACTGTGTATTTTTTTTAAACATCGTTTTAAACAACTAATGTGGGAAGTGCTGCCCTGCATCACTGCGGTTGATGTAGAGACTTCTGAGTCATAACCCTTTCAGGTCTTGCATAGTCATGCAGAAATAATGAGCTATTTACAGTCGACACCTACCATTGAGGTCACCACCAGTGCTGGGAAAAAGCCCATAGTCAAGTAGAAGGCCAGTTCAATAAGTTTATACCTGCAACAAAACAACACAGCAAAAACTCAGCATGCTAGAAAGACTAGAAAGTTTGAGCCATTGTATCAGTGCTGTCGCAATACTCAATTCAACTTGATTACTTAGTTAAAAAACAGATGATGATATGATGACAATGCCTTTTTAAACCAGAGGGACACACCTGTATTACATATTACCAGTGGTGGACAGTAACGAAGTAAATGTAATTCGTTACTGTACTTAAGTAGTTTTTCCGTGTATCTGTACTTTACTGAAGTATTTCCATTTTGGGTGACAAATATCTTACTTTTTACTCCACTACATTATGCGAAATCTGTCATTCCTTTTGGCTTATGTGTGCATAAAAACGTAACACATCAAAACGAAAGCTGAAGCAAGCACACCAATCAGGATACACCACGCACTTTGTTTTCAGCTTGTTTTGACCTGTTGGACATACCGACCCAGTGCTAGCATACCGTTAAACGTCAGTGCAACAGCGTAAAAGTTTGGGAGTGCCTATTCCTACATAAATGACGGAAGAAACTCCTGACTCTAACCAAACTTTGTGTAAACAGACCACAATATAGAAATATGTACACATATGCAGTTTGACTGGGATGTTTTTTTTCTGAATTTATATAATTATATAATTTATACAAACACTTTAATTTTATAGTTAATTTGTTTGGGCTAGTCTATGTTTATGAACAAAGACCTACAGATGCAATATAGTAAAGGAAAACACATTTGTGAACCTGTGATTAAAGTAAGTTTTTATTAAATTTAAACTTTTATTTAAACTAAGTTGCACAACACACACTAACACACCACCACCAGTGTCAGTGTCGCATTGTCGTATCCACCACCCAAATAATATCTGCATGTATTCACACGTCTTTTTAAAGGTTTCACTTCTTTTTCCAATGAACTATTTATAGGATTTGTTTGGCCAAACTTCTAGATGGGCCAAAGTGCTAGCTAGCAATTTGTTATCTTTACTTTTTTTATTTTTTTTTTTTTACACGTTGTTAGTACACATGAAAGAATTGGATTTTTAAAATACTCTACTGGTTTCTTAACATACATAGTACAATGCCTCACCTGTATATTCAGTAAAAGGAATTGTTTAAACTGGAGATCTTTAAGTATAACTGCTAGTTATGTATTGTTAAAGATGTGTTGCAGTGAGTGACAACAGTATAGTGTAAAGGGTTACACAGATTTTAAAATTTTATGGCATTGCACTACATGTTCTGTTACTAAAATTGCTTTTTAAATGAATGAGGCTACAATATTAAAAAGTTCTAATTAAAAATGCAAAAGTATGTGCTTTCTCAATGTATGAGAGAATGGGGGATTAGGCAACTCTCTGGGAGACCAAATCAAACATTCTTGTGGGCCAACTTGTGGGCAGCCCTGCTATACATAGTTCTCTATAATTCAGAGGTCATATGAAGTGAAGGGTCAGACTTACTTCTCGTGGTAGTTGAAGACGTATATTGTTCCTGCGGCAGCCATGAGCCAGACAAACCAGCGCATGTGAGAAGCGAGAGGCCCCAGTTCCCTCAGATTTAACCTACACACATACGTACAGGCAGACAATTAGCTTACACCTCATAAATCAAACAGTTCTTTTTCTTAATAGTGTACCTTGGCATACATTCAGACCTGCATGCTCTTTCTATATCACTTCCTCTCTCAAGCTTTGTTTCCATCCATATATTGTTTTGTGTATTGTGACAAATCAGATAAACATTTGATGAAAATGGCAAACATTGAATCGGTCCACATTCTTTTCCACATTCAAAGTAGATAAAGCTTTTTTGCTGCTAAAACAAAATGAGATAAATGATAAAAATGCATTTGCTGAACAAATAATATGTAAATAGATTAAAGTCATGACTGATCAAGTGATTTTGTTTTTGCCTGGCAGCAGCTGCGCAACACAACAGGAGGCAGCAGGTTCCAGTGAACTTATGAAGAAATTAAAACAGAAGTTTATCTTATCAAAGTAAAAAAAACATAATGGTGATATAAAAGAATAAACAGCAGCGTAATGTTCAAGTGCTCCAAGGCCTGTTTCCAGTGTTGTTATTTTTGCCAGTGTGTTTTGACTGTACGATGTAAAATATATCTGTACCATTAAAGAAAACAATAAAGAAAAACTGCTCAACATTAAAGACTTCTCTCTGGATACATTTATCAAAATATTTTTACAGATGTGATGTAGAGTTTTATCATTATGTACAGAGCTGATGGGAACGCACTCATTTTTTGCAACATTTCAGTTGTTTGCTTTAATTTAAGGCAAGCCTGTAAAAATAGTCAAAACTTATCAGAAATATGTTCATTTTGGCATATTTTTTCATCCCTACATTTCACTGTACTTTCCAAAAATTAACAACTTTAAGGATGGCTTAGACACAAGGCACAACTACATGGTCTCTTATTCTTGAAAGTCATGTAAAATAAGAGCACGGAATTAATCACCTTTGCTACTCTGCGTCTGAATTCATACGATGTGAAAACAAGTGGACGTTTTAGCGCAAATGGTGAATCAGCTTCAGTATGTGAATTCAAGCACCAGCCTAACGGTAACTAATTTACATATCATTTACATGAAGCATCCCCTAATTCACGCAGATGTTTCAGTAGGGAGCAATAAAAGGATAGTATTCAGCAGCTCGTGAGCCAATGGCTGTGTTTGTAAGTGGAGTTTGAGGTTGGGTAATGAGTGCACTGCTCCCCTACTGACCAAACTTCACTGTCAAAATTATGACGACTTAAAAGATTAAAATGTGAAATAAACAAAAGGTCTCCGTTTTTTTTTTTAAGATGGTAGAATGAGGTGATTGTGTAATTTGATTATTCTCCTAAAGTAACAGTTTTAAATGCTGTATTACTGCAGTGTATGAGATGATCCTGCATTGCTGTTTTATATAATTTTTTAGGCAGTCAGTAGTTAGCATAAAACAAAAGCACAGTGTAATTCCCAGTGTAACCAGATGCAAGTTTGATCTACAGATACAGCAAAGATGAAACTGATGAATAACTAAATTGTCGGTGAAATCTGTGTGAGCTCATTTTACATTCAGATTTGACCGTACCAGGTTCACTGTTTCATTATCATTCTGTCTCATTATCAATCCTGTACAATCTACAAGATTCATTATTTTTTTTATTTTCTTTAAAATCACAGCATTTACACATTTGACATCTCACTGGCTAACACAGTTCTTAAAACTGTTAAAACTCTCTCAAAAAACGTTTTCTCTACATTCACAAACAAAAACTAACTTCTAGAATACCTGCGTTCATGAAAATTTACATCCATATTCTAAAGGATATTGCAGCATTTCCCAACATACAAGCTACATTTTGTTCTACTATAATAACAGAGCACAGTGTTTTCTTGATGAAACAATAAAACATTGACATTTCTATAATCTGTTCTGTAACGTCTTTTGTCTCTGGAGTGTCTTTACAATGAGAACTTAGTTTCTAACATCAGAGGCTAGATTGGTTGTTTCTAAAAATATCTAAATCTATACATACGTAAGTAGATTAAAGACATAATTCTATAGTTGTGATTACATTGCTGCATATTGCAATTGCAATATACTCAGACTGCACTGGTAGACTAATATAGTGATGTAGTTAAAGAGTGACTTGCACTATTGACCCAAGTAATTTACTTTTAGGGATTAGGCAACTCTCTGGCAGCCCAAATCAAATATCTTTGTGAGCCAACTTTGGGCAGCCTTGCTATATATGGTTTGCTATTGAACAGAAGGTTCAGAGGTCAGAAGAAGTGACCATATTTTTGCACTGTTCCTGTGTGTTGCAAAAATCTATACCATCTGGTTGAGTAAAACATTTTTGGCATTTTTGAAAACAGGGTGTTTTCCATCGTTATAGCGCAAGCACTCTGGAATTCAGCTACAGATGCCTGAGGGAACCATGAAGTCTTATATTTTCACTATTCTACAACTCATCTGAACCATCGGGACACTGAAGCAGAACTTACAGAAAACGCTGAGAATTTTCCTCGTATGGCATATTCTTTACTCTGTATACAGCAGTTTCGCAGTTCATCTTTCAGTAAACACAAACATTTACTTAAAGCCTAACTATGAATATTACTGAATTAGCCTGAGTCTGAATCTTCTGAGCTGGTTGTTCCTACATAAGTTTCTCTGTTTTACAATGTTTTTGGGCCTTTTACTTCATATGTAACCAATTTGTGACTGTAAATATTAGTGAGAATCTTCAGTTTCTTTCCACTTCCAAGCCAGATTGTGTGCGTGTGAATTAATTTACTGTAGTGGAAACACAGAGCCTATATGACAGTCTGATTCTGACATCTAATGATAGATTTTTTTTCCCACTACTAAAAACATAAGTACTTCTATTCATCAAAACACTCGCAGAAACACATGTGTGAAAACATGATTGGTCAGGATGTTCACACAGTACAAACGCTGTGATTGGTTAGAGGCAGGGTTCAACACTGACTCTCTCACAACTTGCTCGGTTGAGCAAGTGAAGTGAAAGTCTACTGTCAGCAGAAGTTATCTATGCACTTTTCCTTAACATTTTCAGAGAAGTTATCATTTTTACTATTAGAAAGAGAGAGAGAGAGAGACAGAGAGAGAGAGAGAGAGAGAAAGAGAGAGAAAGAGAAAGAGAGAGAGTGGGAGAGAGGGAGGAAGAAAAGAGGAGAGAGTTAGATGGAGAAATAGAGAGGGGGAATGGGAAAGAGAGAGGAAGGAGAGAGGTAGAGAAATAAAGAAAGAAAGATAGAGAGAGTGCAAAAGTAAAGAGGGAGTAAGAGAGGAAGAATATAGAGAGGGAGATACGAGGGAGAGCAGGATAAAGAGTAAGAGAGAGTGCACGAAAGAGACAAAAGTGAGAGAGACAGAAAGTGCATGTGTCTTCTGTACTATTCAGTTAGAACTATCATTTACGCCTTCATCATATGCTCACACTTGACCAGCGCTCCTGAGGAGCGAGCAGCATTTTAGGCACGAGATGGCAGAAGGATTTTCACAGCCTTTAAGTTACTGTTTTCTGTAAATGACAGTGTCAACAAAGAACCATTCAGTTTGTCTGCTTTTTCAAGGTAAAACCTAAAAACTGGGTCAAACTTAATCTAAGGAAATGAATATTTCTGAGAGGAAATTAAGTTTTTCCAATAACTTAGTCACGTTCTCCTGCATCAATGACATTTCAAATCACTACTTTCTCTACAAATGAGTATCAAAACCTGTGTGTTTGGCTGGATGTAACTCCATGAACAACTGAATTTTCCATTTTTCCAAATATGGCTGCTAACCGTATGGCGAAACATCAGCTTGCCCAGACAAGTGATTCTTTAATGCTGCTGCTCCGAATGAATATTTTACTTGCCTGGAGCATCTGAGCAATCGTTAATGCTGAGTGCTGAGAAGAGCTCATTTGCATATTGCAGTAAAATGTGATATCAATACTGAAAAAGCCAAAATCATAACAATCACCAGACAATATGTTGTGCTGCCCTAACACACACTCACAGACACATACACTCTCTTAACCTTTAAGCTACATCCAGAGCCCACATCTATTTTCTTCCTGACTCTTGCGCTACATTTGCCCCCATTGCACGCAACTCTTTCACTTCCATTTCCATTCACAAACACCCTCTCACACACTTACGTGCTCTAAGGCAGTGTTTCTCAATCTCAGTCCTTGAGGCCCACTGCCCTGCACATAGTGCTTTTCCTGCTTTAACATAGCCACTTTAACTCAATAATGGGCTGTTAATTAGCTGATTAGCAAGGCAGGGGGTCTCCAGGACCAGGATTGAGAAACACTGCTCTAAGGAAATGATAAGACAGTAGAGACTGTACACTTGTTTTTCATGCCCCATTCTCTTTTCTAGGATCAGATTTGAGTGTTTGCATAAGCTACTGCAGTAGCTCCCAATCCCAGCCATAATCTAACAAGCCTTATACAACTCGTCAGGTAATGGCCAAGGCATTAAAGGAGCTGGGTCAGCTGCAGTAAAACCACTGAGCTAGAAATTAGCATCATGGTAAATTACATCACAATTAGGAGTGGGCAATATGGCAAAACATCACACTTCAAGACATTTCCGCAATACATAACATGCATCACAATGTTTAGTTTGATAAGCAGGAACAATAGATGGCACGATATTACTTTATCTTTTCTGATACGGATGCCAATATTAAAATCTGGAGTACTGACCAATACTGATATCAATCTGATATTTTTCCTTTCCTACTAATCTTTTTAATTGTAACAATTCACTTTAGATGAGCATCTAAAAGTACACTTTGATCCCTCTCTCTAATACCCCACCAGAAGAAAAACACACCTACCAACTTCACATCATATAGTGTAACACTACTATGAAAGTTACTGTGTTATGCTACTGTGGCAGAAATGGAGCTTGAAACAAATGTTAGGACACCATTGGAGTCATCCCAAAATTATAAAAGCATTTAGGAAATCTTGTCTAGTTGATGCTTCTGTAAAACCCTTTTATAATCAGCAGGAGGTAAGATAATAACCTTAGGAAATGTTATTGTGTAATAGTTACTGTCCCAAATTCAGTGAAGCCACCATGGCAACTAAAGAGACAAGATTAAATTTCAGAGTTGGGATGTTTCTGTGACACATCTTCAGAACAACTGCATGTATCATAAAAATTGTACTCACTGCATTTTATTAAGCTGTTTTTGAGCAAGAGCCACAAAACTTTACAGGATCGTAGAGCTTATAGGAGTATAGTGCACTTGCACTTTTGGCCCCAATCGCACGCACGAGTTCCAAACAGTGTTTGTTCAAACACAGTATTTTCCCCCATAGAAAATGAATAACAATGTTGAATTCATATCTAACTGCCACTACATAAACACACATTAGCAACCACCTGGGATTCCATAACAATGGCCTAGCAACATCTTAAGAACCTCCTGGGATTTAACAGTAATGCCTTTGACAAGCCAACTTACACATTCACAAACTCTCCCCTTAAAGTTACACTCACTGTTTTTCAAAGCCTTTTTTAAAATGTGGCACCACTGTTTTGCTGGTGTACTTTTACAGTGCATGTTTTGATCCTTCACTGGGTTGAATGCTCACCATGGTGTGTAGGAGGCAGCGATGAAAAAGTAGATGACAACTCGGTCACACATGTGAAAGCAGTGCTCCATGGTCCTGCAGGCAGTGGAACAAAAACATTTGTATAATTTTTACCCACACCTCACCTAATGTAAATTTCTTCTTGGAATGAGTTTGAATATTTGACTTTGACCATAAGTTCACATCTAGGGGTGTAAATCTCTGACCTCATTTGATTGAGATTCTTCGGGAATATTATTAAATGCAGGAAGGAATTTTAAATGTTTAAAGTTCATGTCATATAGATTATTTTAGTCCAATTCAGAATTACTTATAAAAATGCACTGAATACACAACTGTAACTGCACAAACCATTAAAGCATTAGTGGAACACAGAAAATGAAAACAATGCACTTAACTTCTGGAGAGTATTTTACATTTGAAAATAGCCTGAAATTTTATTAACTAAAAATTAACATTATGCTTTGCTGATTTTTATTATAATCAGTTATTACACTCTAAAATCAATGCAGTTGAATCACCACCTTCAGACTGGTACATGTTGTTCTACACACCTATTCAGAAATACACTCTTTCAACAGTTTCCACTCAACGGTCTGCACAAATTACATGTGTTAAACGTATTTAACAAGAACTAGTTATACAGGGAGATTCATTCAAAAGATGCCCCAAATATTCTGTAATAGCTCTCACTGGGATATGTATATGAAGCTCTCCTCAGTATATGAAGCTTCGAACAAGCCGTCAGAACAATGAGGTAGGCGCTGGACATCCGTCGCAACGTTTAACCGCTGTTCGCAACTTCCAGGTGCATACCCCCTTACCGCTTCATGTGTCTGGCAGAAAACGGAGATCACTTCCAGCATCGCATGTAATTGAATCGATTACACATACGTCAAGGTATGTAGCGTATTTTTTGGTTCAGATTGCTTCATCCTAACGGGAGTTACAACAGAATATTCAGGGCCTCTTTCGAGTGAATCTCCCTGTATAAAAGCCAATGTTATTTGTGAGAGGGTGGTGGAATGCTGAACATTCAAATATTCATTCTTAAAGCTGTCCGTCTATCTGTCCATCGGTACATCCTTCTCTCTCTCCCTCCCTCCCTCCCCAGCCCCTTTCGGGGTCAGTCTGACCTCATGTGGCTCTTTTTCCAGGTGATGATGTGGAAGGCGGTGGAGATGAGGAAGAGCGCACAGAGGCCCATGCCATAAACCCACGCTGTAATTCGCTCCCAGCGGTCGTCTGATAGCCGGTGGAGCAGAGCCATGCCCACGATCGCAGGCACAATCAGGAGCTACACATACACACAAAAAGAGGTCCATATGAGTACGTGAACATTGAAAGGCTCTCTGAAATTACTGTTTCCCCCATCCAGCAATTGCATCCAACAATTTAGCCTTTTCAGATGAGCTAATGAGCTACAACTAATTGGTATAGAGTTGAATGCTAATGAGGACTTATCATCATCGACATCTTAGTTTGTCAGCGAAATGCTTCTCATTGTTGAGTACATCTAATGTCAACAGAAGTAGTTACTCTAGTTAGCATAAACCCATACTACATCTAACTTCTTAAACTCCTTGGCAACAGGTCTCAATATTTTCCAACTCTTCCAGTGATGGAACTAAAACACCCATGCAGTAACTTCAGTACTCCAATAGTGAAACCTGGAATGGTTAACTGAGCACTTAAGTACCCGTACAGACCCCTACTCTCACAATTCACTCCAAAGCCACACTGTTAAATACAAAAACAGACAAAAGAACATTTTTAGGTAGGCAGCGTACTCCTACCTATTTTTTTTTTTAAATAACAGTAGGTCATACAGTGTCAGAAACCGCACAGGTCTATTTGAGATGACCTAATTACACATACAAGGTTTGAGGCAAGCATGTGATAATTTTGTGGTGGACATTCATACGCCACTCATTGTTACAGATATAAACTTGACAAGCTGACCTTGCACTTGACTATGGGCTTCTTCCCAGCACTGGTGGTAACCTTTATGGAATGTATTGACTCTAAATAACTCATTATTTCTGCCTATCTGAGAAATGTTGTGGCTGTGACTCAGAAGTTTCTATGTCCCAATGAAACAATGATGCAGTGCAGTGCTTCCCACATCATTGTTCAGAGCGATGACGCAGCCAAAAATCAAATGTACAAAGTTTTCCCCAATGTTTATGTCTATACATATAGAAATTGACAAGATTCATAGTTCCAGCTTCATCACAGGGGCTACTATCATCTTTAACTATGTGACACACTTTTATCCATCAGCCATTCTGTTATGGACCAAAATTGACAAATGTACAGGAAAAAAAAAAAATCAGGCTTCAAGACAATGGCAACTGTTATTTTCATAGGTAACAGAAAGTGCCAGAAACCAAATAAGCAAGCAACTCCACACATTTTGAGGCAAGTGGGTGATGGTTTAGGCATGCAGTTTCACAATGATAGCTAAATGGCGCCTAGAACTGTCTATTACTTGTCAGCTACATTAGCTTCACAGCTTCAATTCAAAACTGAAAAAGCAAACTTCAGACACCAATCACGTTTTGGCTGACTGACTACATTTGGGGTGAAGGGGAAAGCTGAGTAATTTTGATTTTATGCCAAATTATTGCTCAAACAACACAAGCTTCACCAACTGAACAGCTGTGCAATACTGTGTGTGTGGATGCGGCAGTACAGTTATCTTTCCATTTCAGACACATGATCCAGACGAACAAAGGGTGTCAGAGCAGAGTAAGCGTTTGTGACACTTGATACAGCTTTCTCCTACATTTTCAGGCATTAATCCAAGGTGTCGTACTGAAATATGCTGCCTTTCAGATATTACGTAATCCCTGGTGATCTAAACCTGTATCTGCTGCTACTAATCATAACCGAGGCTTATCCCCCAACAGCACGCGCCAATGTAATCCATCGGGTCACATATTCGGGTCACCGTGTGACAGGCCAGGTAATGAGAGCGGGTGATATGGCAGGTAACAGACAGGGGGATGAGAGGTGTCTTACCGCATGGGTGTAGCAGTTGGCTGCATGTTCATAGCATGTGGGCTGATAGCGGCGGTTCGCAGCAGCTCTGCCGTTCATGAATCTGTAAAGAGACACACATACACACGAGACAATTAGGCCAGAGTGTGTCCATAGGCGATGACATAACAGTTTCATATAGGTTACATACAGCGGGCTATCAATGGACCATCTTTAATATGTAACGCCATACAGATATGAAGACTGGGAATTATCGATAATGAAAAAATGCGTATGTGACAGACAGACAATAAATAAGGAAGAAAAACAGGAAAAGACACAAAGAAGTCGTATTTTCTTTGACATCCTATAGCCTAATCTTCCCTGTTATTATGAGGCTGAATTTGGCTTCCTATTCGCCAGCTTCGTGTTCGAATTTTCTCGTTCCACCTTAAATGGTACAGCGGGTACATTTTAAGGTGGAACGGTAAAATTCAAACAAGAAGCTGACAACAGCTTCGTCCTGTTATTCAACTACTGAAACAAAGGCGAATTATCAGCGTATAGGAATGGCGTTATATGTCATATATTACAAAATAATATAATAAATCTCATAGTTACTCAGACAGACACGCAGTAATTTGAGTCTAATATTACTGATAACGATTAATCTGTGCGCTGCTGCAGCGCTGCAGCTCCTCCCTGCTGAACATCTGTAACGTTAGTTAGCTGTGTAGCTACTCAGCTACCTATTTAGCTTTACAAATCAATTTTTGACTTAATATAGACACTCGGCAAATCGTGAAAACATCTATAATGGCAAAAGGGTTTACTGGTCGCCGTATCAATGACTAGTCTGCCGTTTCTTTTCAGTGGACACTGTGCATGGAAAGCTAGCTGCGTTAGCGGAATTAGCCGGGTTGCATTCATAGCTTTGGTAAAATAAAACATAGCGATTTCTAGACATGTGCATGTTGTTGTCTGACTCACCTTTGGAAACTGTTTACCCTCTTCATCTTAAAAGATTATTGAACTGGCATAAAAAGAGAAAAAACTCGGCGGGGGAAGGCAAGCTGTATGGCTAAACTAAACTAAAGGAAGGGGAAAATGATTCCCGAGTCGAGCTACATTAACTCCTCATGAGGCTTTGTGTTAAAATCCAAGCACCGCATTCATTTGTCCAAAAGGCACGGCTTTCAGAACGCCTCACCGACACCATAGCTGACTTCCAGCTCAAACATAAACCCGCAGGAAAACTCAGAGATTCATCCCCATCCCTCTAAAACTGCCGCTAAAACAGCAGCACCACACAGGCCACTGAACGTCCTGACCCTGGAAACACGATTCACAGCCGAGAGGTTGTATATTATAATGCTTATTATTTTCTTCCTGATTGACAGGGGAGTCAGCCAATCACAGACCCGTCAAAAAGCTGAACGGGGAGCAACTGACCAATGGCGCTCTGAGGGTTTCACCGTTACTGTCGTCACAACTATGGGCGGGACCAAGAATGAGGTGAGCTGCTGTACCAATTTTATTGGTTTATTAGCCAACGTTCAAGCAAGTGTGCGTTAGTGCTGTGACGGAAAAGAAGGATGATGTCATTTTCCACCGTGTTCTTCTGCATCATGATTACTGAAGATAATATCTGAGACCAAATATCTGTTTATGATCTGGTTTTACAAACTTGGGTTAAGGCCAAGTGCAACGTTAATGGTGGTTTAGATACACCAGTGAATGTCTTTTAGGCTTTAGGGTTAATCTGTATGGGAAGCCAAAAATCATAATCTGTAGCTTTTAGGCTCAAACCCTTCTCTACTATTAATAAGTGGGTTAATGTGGAGTCCTTAAAAGGAAAATCCACAGAATTTCTGTAAAATTAAAGAGCTAAAATGTAAACACACATACTGAAGTCTGATATATGGCTATATATGTTCATATATCATAAAGGCTGAGGCATATATTTTAAAATGCATGTGTTGTGTACATATACATACATATCAAATAATGGACATATATGCATTATTTGTCTGATAGGTGGGTGAATACATCTAAGTACAGTTAATAACTAATAACAACAACTGCTCTGTTATCTGTTTGCTTTTTAAGTTTAAATTAGATTTTCTATCAATTCTATGAATTGTTCACAGTCATGATGACAGGAACCAGATGTGTAAAGTTTCTAATGCCTCTAAAAGCTACCTCACAGAAAACTATGTGAAATGTTTAATAGCTTTTGAAAAGCTATCCATTGTGGAGAGGTACCTGCAGTGTGTTGGAAGGCGAAAATAGCATCTAAAGGAAACATTAAATTTTACCATTATTAACATTACATAGAAAAACTCAGGCACATGTAGGTTCACTGCTCATTTTGGTTAGTTACTAAAATGGCTATGTTTGTGTTGTAGCCATCATGACTCCTGGTTTCTATCAGCACCACTGTAAAGAAAATCTGAGTTTATAAGTTTCTTTACAATGTACTGCTTCATGTCAAACTACTCTAAATGATGGAATCGTGCCGACAATGCATAAGGACTGACTACCTGGGTCAAAAGTCAACCTGCAGGAGACACTTAAGCCACCCGTCAGCTCTTATATCCTACCTGGAATCTTTATACCTCTATCTGCCTGCTGTAAGAGGAAACAGCTAAAGGGAAAGGTATTCAAAAGAGCTCAGCATGAAGTAAACACTCACACACACTAAGTGGCTAAGCATCTAACAATGAAACAGTGCCGATGATTACAGGGCTTTTGTGCTTTCTCGCTTCCAGCGTTATTACGTAAGGCCACAGGAAACAAATCCATTAGGATCTTCCTTATGTAAGGCTTTTAGGTGAAATTTGAGGGTTCCCTATCTCAGTAAAGCAAAGTCTCAGATGAACTGAATTTTAATGCTTTGCCTTCTCAGGTAATGCTCAAGGCCTTTGTTTTGCCCTTTAGACAAAGTGCCTAGAGTAAAATTCTAAGAGCATGATGCCACGACCAATACTGTCGCTTATGCTAAACAGCCATAATATAAAGTATGTGCTGTGTATTAATCTAAATACTGTATAATTTTGGCAGTTTAGCTTGCAAAATATTAACATACTGCAGTGTTTGTACTAACAGAATGTGGGAGATGTTGCTATCCCAACATACATTATGTATACTACTTTGGTAGTGCCACATCACGTAGGCTACTTTGATATATAAACAAAAAATGTTTTGATTTTTTTTTGGGTGGGGGATCTTTAAAAAGAAAACCAGTTGGAACTAGTCTTTAGCATAAAACTGAAACATGGTAAATTGTTGATGAAACAGTCATTTGTATGCATATTTGTATGAAAAACATCTTAGCTGTGAGATATATCAATGAAACAAGATTTTTTGATATTCTGATCATTTCTATTGGTCCATTCATCATGAAATATTCTCATAATGTAAAGTGAGCAGATGGCATAATAAAAGTGTGGTGCAACTGTCTAACCATATGTTCACTTTAGCAGGTGACAGAGTGACATTTGATCAGTCATTTCCCATGGGAATGCAAAAAAACAACAATCAACAAGACAGCAGGCCAACAAGCCTTAAATCCAGTTCAGACTTTTGCAACTTTTATGCAAATTAAGTATGATATAATGAATTACATGAACCAATCCTAGACACAAGGTCCTCAGCGTCTACTCTCTGAACTTTTTGTTCCTACCAACTTTTTGTTCCTACTCTCAATAGTGTCACACAAAAATAGCAATACATTGTAGATATTGTTTACATTTTCTTGTCAGAAACTGTACAGTGTACATTTCCACATGTGATAATTAAAGCGGCCTTGAATGCACCCACAAGTAACCAACTTGAGGCTACATTGTGACTATCTAGTCGCCTGATTCTGTACATGCAGTGAGTGTTGGTCATATTGTTGAGAGATTGTTCGTTCAATTCAGTTGACGCCACAGCCATCCATGGCCGGGAATCCAAGAGAGTGTAATTGGCCTCACTCTCTCTGGGTGGGTAGGATGGATCTCTCTCTCTCCTCCCAAATGCTTTACAAATGCCAACAGCTCACACTTTTGAAAAGTGTGTGTGAAAGAGAGATAGACAGAGATGTAAGGAGTGAACAGCAAACTTTTCTAGTATAGCCTCAGAAGGTCAAAAAAACAAAAAAAGGCAATGAATGGCAACAAAGCCTTTTTATCCAATGCGCTTTTTAACTAAAGCAAACGAGATGTCTTTGTTTCTCCACTTCTCCTGAACAGGATTACTTTATGCAGTGTAGTGTAAGAGGATTGATCTCCATGAACCGCCATGACTCCAGCTGCCATTGTCTGTGGTTTAAAGGGTTGGCAGGTCAGTGGATTATGCGCAGAATGCAATGCATTGTCCACGATGAAAAGAAGCTACAGCATTATAAAAAAGCCATTGACAATGGTAAGGCAATCCACACAAAAGTGTTTGAGTCCGTGCTGTAGAACATGGCCTGACTGGACTGCCGTGAGTTTTGTATCTCTCACGTTTGTAACTCAAAGCTTTCTTTGAAGGGTGAATAGAGTTCATTTCAAATAGATGACCTTCTGCTGAACCAGGAATCCAGTCATGAATGAAAAAGTGTTATCAATGAAGTTTGCTGCAGTTCAAGGGTTACAGTCATCATATAAACCACTGTTCAGGTATTTTTGCCAGTTATGCTAACTAATAAACTGTAATTAGTAATTATTTAGGGTACTATTTCATCAAGTTATCTACCTTAGGGTTTGAACATCACTTTTGAATTAACAGGAATTTATTATTTGTTTTGTTCTGTAATGTTCTGTAATAACAGAAATTGAGAATATCGATAGTCTTTTACAATGTGGTAAAATTTCATGATGAATGGACCAAAAGAAATGCTCCACAATTACTTGGAAAAAAAATCTTAGCATCCATTCAAAATTAAGAACAATTTTTCCTTTTTCTGTAAAGAAGATATAATGTTTTGTCACAACAGCAAACTATGCCTATACAAGTCATGTCCAAAACATTTTATTGGCGTTTTAACTCATTTGTTAAAAACCTATTGTTACTATACTAAGATCAGAAGGTCAGTGTGTACACAATGATTATTATAAATATAGCCCATTGTAAAAGCTCCCAATCATTTGTTTTCTATCTGCTGAAAGGCCTATACTGGCTACCTTAACATTGAGGTGCTTGGGCCCCGATGCTTGCCACTTGCCATGTAATATCTAGATGCTCATCTCTCAGTTCACAGAAATCTTTGTTGGAAACAACAATAATTTACACAAATTACTCTTTTTGCTCACCATACAAAAGCTATTCAATGAAGCAATATGCAAAAATGAAACCAACTTTACTGCTCATGAAACATAACTTTCTTTTCACGTTATCTTAATTCTGATTCGCCAATAAAAATTTAATCCTATATCTGTGGGTTGAATGCATATTTATCATGAACTCCTGCGTTGCTGTTTTTGGGGGAGTTTGCATCTATGTTTCTTACAGATCCTCACTGATGATCTGAAACCTATTTCTCTGCCAGAAAATTGATTTTATATCATTAAAAACATTGTTTTAAAACTTGAAACATGAAGACAACATGGTAAAATGAGTTTAGAACAAACTAATTAACATTTGCTATTGTGCCAACTATACATTAAATTTGTGACTTCTTTTTTCCCGCTGAATCCAGTGCTCAGCCCAAGCATGCTTTTGTCCCCTAACTGCCGTGCCACCATTGTAGATGGAAAAATTCTTGGCAGGCCTGTTTCTCAGGCTTAACCCCTGCATATCTATGGCCTAGACAGCAGAACGGTGCCAGACACACATTAGCTGTACTGTGGACACTGTAACAGTTTGGACTCATTACAGCAGCGACCAAAATTGCAAGCAGAAACAGCAGCCAAGCTTCGAGCAGCCAAGGAAAAAAAAAAGAAGAGTCCATCGCTGCGGCAGGTACAAGAAGGTCAAAGGTTGCTGCTGTATTAGGCTAAGCCGATGAGAGGAAGACTTATCCTCTTCTTCTTCCTCTTTCTTCTCCTCTGTGCGTCTGTGACTTTGCACATGCAACAGTCTGACCCAAATTTCTACAGACCGAGATCAGACAGACGTGAAGCAACACTACAGAATCCAAGTGCAACATCAGGCCTGATTTGCTCACAGTGGTTTATGGAAAACGTCCCATCAGAGTGGTTTTAGCCCTCCTTTGTATCACACTGACTCTAATTCTTTTAAAAGTAAAATTTAAAAGTAAAAGTAAATTGTAAATTGTAAACAAACCGCTTTTGTGTTTGTAGCAGAGGATTTTATTTGAATTTGATGAAAAGTTGCTGAGTTCACTCCTTATTAGAAAAACAGTGCTCCACAAAGTGTGTCAACCAT